ATGTGAAAGCGTGAAAGATACAGTGTGGCAAAAATTAAACTGGTTATTTCGAAAAAGAGGTACGACGGATGCAGTAAATAAAGATAAATTTGTCCTCCATGCGAAATAACGCAAAGTTTTCCAAAATACATTGCATGTATTAAAATTATGTAATCAAGATTTTGATATTTTTTTCGGGGCAAACGGATTTCTTTTGCTTCCTTCAAAATTTATTTTTAGGTACATTATTTGTCATCACAATCGACGAAGTTCATTCCAGTGATATTAAATCGCTCTTTAATTCGAAAAAAATCGATTCAACTAGAAGCAGTAGGAAATCTCAATCATCACTCACCGCTCTACCGATGATGCACACAGGTCAATTGAAAAAGAACTCTCATCAAAGTATTGTATCACTCTGTAAAAGAAACAAATATAATTATTTTCATTTTTTTCCCCAAAATTAGCTGTCTCTCAGTCAAGGCTGTTTCTCAGTTCGTAAATAAAAAGGAACGTTAATAAAACACTAAATTTTAAGACAGAAAGTGGCAGCCTTCATCGCTCCTTCGCGATGAACGATCGCAGTAAAACTGTACGGGGAAGATACTCGTCGCCACATTTACGCGCAACTCGCGAGCTGCGGCGACGATAAGCGGCAAATCGCGGTTTACGACGCGCCGCTCTTTCGATCGGGGAAAAAAAAAGCGCGCCAGATATACCGGCACCCGGCGTTCCGCATCGTAAATAAATTAAATTAAAGGCGCATTTGCGTACAAATTATCGCCGAGCGGCGCGGCTCAAGCACCCAATAAAAATATTTCGCCGCTCGTTAAAATTAACAATGTCGGGACGAATAAATCGCGATTAATTATCCGGGCCACACGCGCGCGCGCGGGTGAACGTTGTTCCGGTCAAAAGGAGCGAGAGAAATGGAGAAAGGGCGGCGAAAAGAGAAAAAGATAGATCGATAGTAGAGATCGATGGGGGAGGAGAGGCAGACAAAAAGAGGGAACCGTGATCTCGTGCTGGGACGAGAAAAAGAAAGGCGGGCCTTTCAAATGTGGCACAGACACGCTCGTGAAATTCCTCTCCTCGTTTCGGCCGCGCGCGAAAGAGCCCGGAGGACACGCGCGGAATCCGAGCAACCTTGCGCCCGTTACGCGAAAAGAAAGCAAAAGCAAACAATGGGCACCGATCTCTTGTACACATTTTCCGCAGCCGGCGAACGCAACCGCGGCTCCGCGGCCGTCGCATCTGACCGTATATGAGGAGTCCGCGCGAGTCTGATCTGAAGAATTTGACGTTCGAGCTGCTGGACAAATCGCTGATATAACGTGAGCAATAATGAAATCTTGACACGTCAAGCGTGATTAATTAAAAAAAAATATGACATAAAAGTCCTTTTTTATCTGTCTCTCTAACGGCCAGCGTCGTGAGTGAAAAGTAAACAGGTTTTTTTTTTGGACGAAGGGGACAAATTAGCATACGTAAAATGGTACGTGACGGGTGATTGGAAGATGGTTAGAGATTGACGTTGTATTCGCTTTTCGCATGACATTTTCCTAAACAAGCAAAGTGATTCAATTGGTGTCACTCGAGTCTTAATAGTATTTGGTTTACGGCGGACGCGGAAGGATATAATACAATTATGATATAATAGTAAAGTGATAAAGAAAGGCGACGAGACGTAACAAGACGTAACGTTAGCGATGAGTAATGATCGCGCTTAATAGGCCCCACAAGGAAGAGACGCAACGGAGGACGAGAGCTCTCGAGGAGCGAGCTCCTCTCTTCTTCTCGATTTCTTACTACGAAACTACGAAAGAGCAAGGGCGCGCTTCCACGAAGAGAGCTAACGAGGCCGGTCAGGTAGATACTCGGGTCGCTAACAGCGGCACGAGGAGTAAAACTCGGCGGGAGAGACAGAGCGGAGACGGTGGATTCCGTCCCTCGATAAGCGTCTTCGATATGTTGTACAATAACCGAGCGAGTTGCCCCGCAGCCCGATCTTTCATCGCGCGAGACCACGCTTCGCCGCTCGAGCTGCGTGTTACTTAATAGCCTTCGCGGGCTATGTGACTTGACATGGTGATCTATGAGGGGACAGAGAATCCTATAGATACTCTACCAAATGCCCAATGTCTCATAACTTTGACATTCGCAGAGAGAGAAGAAAGAAAGAAAGAGAGAGAGA